AGTATGATACGGGGACATGTAATTTCCACTTTCCTATTTATTTCAAATATTTAGACATGATATGACGGGTACAAGAAGATAACGTATACTTCGGATAACAAAACTACAATAAATCCATGTATTTTAAAAAATAAAAATACCTAAATCTTTAGAAAACAAAAAGGCTAAAACATGAATCTTTGAATTGAAGAAAGTAATGAGAAATAAAGATGAAACGGAAAGATCAATAAAATTAAAAATCGAACATGGATTGTGTATGCTAGGATTACAGACAGTGCCTTGTGAATGAAAATGGTGGGAGCATGTGACTTAGATTGATAATTAGATTTTTATTAGTTTGATAAAAAAAATATTTAAACGAGAAATACGGGTATCCCGTCTAAATATTTTACCAAGTTTCTTATAATAAACATTGGCAAATGATTATGTTTTAAAAAAAAACGATTAAAGGACATAAATTTTATGACAGATAGAAGACGGGACGGGACGAGGCGGGGTGGGACGGTTCAGGACAAGACGGAAAGAGACAGGACGAGTTTTCCATTCTAAACTACACATAAAACATTCAAACTAAACCCAAACCCAAATCCGATTTAACATCTCTAAGCAAACAGTGAAATATTTTGATTAGTTTAGAAAATAAACAAGTAATATCATTTATCATTTTCATTTAAATAATTTTAAAATTGTATTATGTAATACAATATCTATATTTTACAACTGTGTGTATATATATAGTTTATCGAATAAACTCATATAACAAAATTTTACCAAAATAGCCTCTACTTAACAAATCGTAATTTTATAAAAATAACTTCGCACGTACGTGCGGATCCATCACTAGTTATTTAATAAGAAGAGTTGGATTCGTTTCACGAAGGTTGGTGGCTAATTATTAACTTTTTTTTCTTTCTTTTCTTGTTTTCTTCTGTTCTTCAAAATTTTTAATCAGTCTAATAAATTAATCACGTATATGTGAAGTTATACTGCACGCAAACATAAACATATACGCAAACCTAAGACGTTTTAGAAATGAAGAATACTTTTTAAATTCTAAAATTTAAAAATGAATACATTATAGAAACATATACATCTATATAAGTATTGATAATAAAATTATTAAACATGAAAACCATATCAAAGAAGAAAATGGTTTTAAACAACCAAAATCTAACATATGAATATTAAATAACAAAGTAGAGAAGTAAATTAATACTAAACATATAAATTTCAAATCCTAATGTTTCCTAATAATTTGTTTACATTGGCTCATCTGAGCTGATCTTGTTCTGTTGATGATAAAAAAAAATAAAAATAATAATAATAATAATAATTTGTTTACAGTATTATGTTTCTAAACAAAAAAAAGGTAAAATTTTGCTGTGTATATCGTATACATGAAGTTTCTAAATTTAAAATATATATAATATTAAAATGTAATTTGTTATGTCTTCAAAATGGAAAGTTTGCATCACATTTCGAAACATAATTTTTAAGAATCATGATTACGTGACATTTTTCGTGGTTCTGAACTTTTTTTTTGAAAAACAAATTGGGAGAGAGTTTCTATGCAATTTAGGAGTATACACACTAAATTTGTAGTTATTATTTAAAAATATTGTTTTTCTTATGTTTTCGCCAAACATAATTTTTAATAATCATGTTTACACATCTTTTTAAAGAAACAATTAAGATCTTGGAAAGGGTTTTCATGCAGTTTATGACTATGCAAGCTAATAATTAATATTACTGGTTGTTTATGCTTTCCCCAAATCTATCTCTATCTTTATGCCTTAGCTGAGCATCAAACACATAATAAAGCGTTGCATTTACAGTTCCTTCGCAGACAAGAAGAACTACAAAGAGGGTAATAAGGCAATCGATACTCTTAAGTCTTAAACATGGAATTTGAAATTTTTAAGAGCTTGTTAATCAGGGAAATCATCACAATTGAAAATATAATTAGCGGTTTTGGTTATTTCGATAGTTTTGCACGATGTGAACTGGTAGGTACTAGGAAGTATTCCTCATCCGTCATCACTAAAAATAAAAACAGCATCATCTGTGTGTTTTGGTTTTCATATTCAAAAATAATATATAGAAGCCAACAAAAATAATTACTATCTATATACTATAGAGATTAAGAGTTTGATTGGTTC